TCTCATTTTATTTTATTTTACTTATTTTAGCTACCTATAAAAGTCATGAGAGATATCAATCTTGTTTAAACATTTTAAAACTTAAAAAAATATTGATTTTTATTAAATTTTGGCTTTTTTTATTATAATTTTATTTTTAATTTGTTTGTGTGTCATATTACAATGGCAGAACAATGAAGAAACAAAACTAACAGTCTTGTTAGTCATAATAAAAATATCTTGAACAGGTTCGATGAAATTATTCCACCTCCGGAACAGTCTTTCTCGTTCCAAGTGGCCTTGAATTCCAACTTGGAATGGTTTCACCCAGAATGATCTTTCTCGTTCCCCCCGGAAGGGTCTTTCTCATTTCACCCCAAATGGTCTTTCTCATTCCACCCAGAACGAACGGTTTCTCTCGTTCTCTCAGAATGTAAACACTATTACGTTTGATTACACTGCATTTTTGTTCCGATCTGAGATTTCATTCTAGCATCCGTTTGGAATGATTATGGTACAGAATAAAATGCCTACTATGTGTTATCGACAGATTTGATGGGCTGCAAAAATATGGTAATTCATTTTTTTTAAATGACGTTATAATGTCTTTTTTATTTTAACTTCCCTATATATAAAAATATTTATCTACCCTAAGGTTGGTGGTAAGTGAAAGTTGTGAGAGAAGCAGAGGAGCACTGCACCAGATTTGTATCCATTATTACCATCTCACAAACCTGGCTCAAACACCAAATATTACTTCCTCTTTCATATACATCCCCAATTAAACTTCATACATCGTGATCGACCAACCGTGTGTTTAGGTCTTTTTGCTCATGAAAGTCTAATGGTTAAAATCCTCCTTAACTTCTCCTTTCTTAACACTCATCTCAAATACTTATTTACTGAAATTTTCTCAGATTTATTTTCTCTTTATGTTGTTTTGTATGCCACCTTAACCCAGTCCAATTTGATCCTCTATTAGAATCCTTCCTTTTCATTTATTTCCTTAATATAAAAATGTGATTATATCTGGTGAATTAAACACAAACCCATCTTCAGATCCCACACTTGTAAACCTCTTCCTTTTCCTAGGGAAGGATATATATAAAGATCTAGACCTTTATGTCGTTCCCTTTCAATCCACCCACCAAACCCAATTCTTAATTACATGGTTAACCTCTTTATAATAAATTCCTCTAAAACTAATTATCCTCTTCTCAAGAATCAGGTATCATTCCTTTCACATCAAGATCTATAACATCTTAACTCTTAAGTTCATTTATAGGCAAACTTCCTGGTCAATCCTCAATGAACTTTGAAAAACTAAATCCTTAGATTTACTATCACCATCCTTAGAATCTATTTATTCCTCTTTCACTATTGATGAAATTATTGAATGTCTTTCTTTCAACAATATCATCTATATGCTAATGATCTCCAAATTTACTAATTCTTTCATCATTCAAGACGTTTGAGGCAACCTTAAGGCTACAAAATAATATAGACAGTATCAACACATGTGCTGCAAACACATGATTTGAGGTTGAATGTTGGGAAGACCAAGGCTTATTGCTTCCAAGCATCTTCTTAATCTCCTTCCTTATTATCCCTTACTCCACCTTAATGACCTACCTATTTACTTCTATATTTTACAAATTACAAGTAAATCTATTGCTACCTTCAAAGTTCTAAAGATTAAGTGATTCTGTAACCCTTAAAACCTGTTAACTTCTAATATCATCTCTGATTTGCTCTTAATTTGATTATGGCTGTGTTGTATACGATAGACTGGTGGGCATGAGAAGAAACAAATGAAATGTCTTATTAGATCAATCTTTGGAGTCCCCAAACAAGTTACAGTGGCTTTACTCTGTTTTCAGATGGCAATATTTACTAGTTGTGTATTCCTTTAAAACCAAACAGCTTCCTTACATTCTTGATTTGTTCACCCTTAGTTCTGTTACTTTTTTAACATGGGATCCTAGCCAACAAAACTGTATATTCGTTCTCATAGAACTGCATCATTCAATAATCCTTAATCATGTGCGCTACATGATTTTGGAATTCATTAATCCATACAAAACTTTATCTTTAACTTCATTTAAATACCAATCATTTCTCCATCTCCTCAAAAATCAATCTTCCGAATTTATGTAAATGTTATGTTCTTGTAAAATTTGTGTTACCTATCATTTTACTGTTACTTGTGTTGCTTTACAAGTGCAAAATAGTAAATATACCTACTTTTATTTATATACAATTCATTATATTTTTATTTATGATTGTTTTTAGACTTTATTTTATAATTTTATGATTTAATTTATTTTTAATTATTGATTTCATCCCGGACAAATGAAACTGTAATTATAAATTTCTAATTCTATATATTAGTCATTGAAAATGTAAGTGAAATAATTTATGGTAAAAAAGACATCATGGCATGCTTCAGAATGCACACAGGCCATGATTTCATGCAGAAGCACCTCTACTGCATCAGTATAAAAGATGTCCTTTGTGCTCTTTGCATAGTATGACAGGAAACTTCTTGACACATACCCTGCATTACAGGACATAAGATGTGATTTTAGTGAACCAGACAACTCTTATGCTAGGGAGCAAAATTATATTAGACTCCAAGATTACGCAATTACCAATAATGTATATTAATTTAAAAAAAAAATTATTTTATTAAAAATAAAAACAGATACATTATCTAAATTTATGTAACACGGAGATAAATTAAATGATCCACTGTCCTTTGAAATATAATTATTTAAAATTTTTTTTCTCACTTTTTGACTTTCAATATCTTGATCTTGATCTTTTACATGCTTTCTTCTTCTAATTTTGAAATAAATTATCAACCATACCAATACATTTTATCAACCAATGTCTGTTATTATCATAAGTAATGTGTTAGTAATATAACTGAATTATTATGTAATACAGTGCTTTACATGGAATCCCAACCACGGTCAACAATATGAAATAATACAACTAGTAACATTATTAAACGTTCTTCATAGCATGCAGCATTATTTTTTGTTTCTATTTAGGGGAATTGAGTTTCAAAATATGAAAGAAATCCTTTTATTTAAATAACAAATTTATTTATTCGTTTGGGACAAAACATAGATCATACTATATAAAATCATTTCAGGATTAAAATTTACTTTTTTTAGGAGAGAGGTCCCCTAATGACAACCTGCAATAACTTGACAACTTCAAGAACTAAACTCGAAAAAAAATTTCTTTTGATAATTCTGACTTATTTTCTTTTACATCTAAAAAAAAATTATAAATATTCACTTTAACAGTAAAAAAATAATATAATTGGGATATAATAATATCGCAAAATACAATAATTGACACAATTGTAAATTAGCAACGTGTTGCTTATTTTAAAACAATAGTTTTTATTTTATCTCATGATACAGATTCTTATGATTAGCATGTACTAAATATCTTTTGAGTACTGGTTCCTTTTGAAAAACCATAGGAAAGAACGGATTATGTTCTTAATTTTGTAATATTTTTCCAAGTGTGAATATAAATAACAATTTTAAAGAAAGATTTAATGACAGGCAACATATGATTATTAATAATTTATCAATGAAAATATTCTTTATTTTTTCATATTGTAATACCAAATCCTACACTCCTACTCATTTTATAAAATGCAATTAAACCCTGTCAAAACGATATTTGATCACAAACAAATAAATATTAAAATGATCAGATGGTTTTTGGTACACAAATCTGAAATGGTGATTAAAAGCAAGGAAAACCTCTTGAGCAGGAATATCGTTGGGTACCTTGAGAGTGAGGGGCACCTGGGCACATGCCCACTTAAGTTCATTCTATACTCTATGGGTTCAACCTAAACATTTGTTCCCTGCCCCAAGGTTTAAGAATAATAATTTATTTTTAATAGTCTTATTAGTAAACACTATATTGGGTCTACTATAATCAAGAAATGGATAAGACCAAAAGGTTTATTGGATGTTCTCGAATCTTCATGATTTTCAAACTGATTAGGAAGATTTAGCCTTGGATATTTAAGAAATTGTATGTCATTCAGCAAATTAAAATTTCAATATATGTTTCACTTAAAACTCAATGTTTTTTTTTTTATTTATTCATGGCTCTAAATTTGGTAACTAGTGGTTAGTTTGTATTGCTCTAAATATGATAATAAAGTATATTATAAATTTTACTTATAAAATTAATAGTCCTTCCACAGAGGTATTATGGAATTAAAACAATGTATTGATATATTAGATTAAGATGCAAAATAAGGCTTTGAGAGTGATTACAGGAGCTGCAAAATGGCTATAGAACAAATTCAAACAAAAAGGGATTGGCAGGGCAGCTGTCAGTCTCATAGAGATAATGGTCTGACTTGGTTTTAAGTACTGGGATGTCCAAAAAACATCTGTCCAGTTCCTTAAGGAATCGTAGTGACATTCCAATGGGTTCCAAGTCATTGCATTTTATCAGAAAATGAAGAAACTAATGAGATCACACGGATTGCCTCAGAAATGCCACAAACCAATCCTCCGTTGCCCTACAATTCAGCTAAAAGGATTTTAAAATTCTTTTACAAGGAAGAGGTTAGGAATTGGCAAAAACAAAAGGCAGCTGGGAAAAAATGGTAGTGTTTACCAAAGGGGACGATTAAACAAACCCAAAGTAGAAAAGCCTCAGCCGCGTGTTTCTGCATGATGATGGGACATGATTACCTGCAAATGCATTTGGATTGGAGTTAAGGAAAGTCCTCTGCACTGGGGGGATAAGATGTATGAAATGTACTTCCCAGTGTACCTTGTTCTGTCAGATGTTATCAATAAAAATCTTCCTAATGTGATGGGCACAGCTACTAGCAATGGAAGCATTAAATTGGAGAATTTCATTATGGCAAAATTGTATTGGAGTACCAACAGCCGAATAGCCTAATAATAAATGATATAGGCATTGAATAACAAATAAAAAAGATTAAGGTATATTAAATAACTAGCAACCTTGCTTCCTTTTCTATTTCAGAAGTAATTCTCTGGAGTTCACTTCTTATTCCATCTTCTGTATTCTGTAGACAATATTTTTGTTCTGCTTGATTTCTATTGGAAGATGTTTCGATAGAAACATTTTTTTCACAAGATGAATCACTATAACAAATATTAAATGAATGAAAGTAAGAACCTCTTATAATCTTCATATTTTTTTGCTAAATGATACACAAAACTTCTAACTACTGTTTATCATCTGATTTTATATAACAGTGGTGCCATCTATATAAATGCTAATTTCAAATGAAAGTTGAGTTATAAATAAAATATGCCATATAACATGCAATAAAAAAGTATAAAATATACAGCATAGAAAAATAGCTTCGAAATTACCAAAACACATTCTTAAACATTTTGATAAGCCTTTTCCAAAAAACACAACATACTTAAACCTTTAAGTATTCAGTCAGGATTTTTTCAAATATATCTATGCCTTCTTAAATCTTCCCCCACTTTTATTTTAATCTATTTAGTTATATATTTTATTTGAGGTACTTAAATTGGTATTTATGAAAGTTAGTATTATTTTTATAGCATTTAAAAATTGATAGTTAGTATTAAGTTCTTTTCACCAGTAAGAAAATTATTTTACAAATAATATGAATCTTAAAAATAAAGTCAGAAGTTAGCTGGGTACTTAGTATACCGTCTGCTATACTATTTTTCCTAACTGGACAGGCTTTGTATTAGTGTTTGATGGAGATGGATGCTTAACACGTTCACGCCAGGACCGATTTTTATTTGTTTTGCTGTGAGGCGGTGCTGAAATTAATGCCGCGTTTCATGTGGCGGGAGCGATTTTTGCCTGTTCAGACCTGCATACGCATTGTATGTTTTCTCAGTAGTACAGTGAGTGCTTATTTTGCAAGTTGTGTAATTCCGTTTTTTCATCCTGGCCACAGATTTCTGACAGTAAGTATAACTAGAAAGGTGGTTAGAGTGTTTTTTTTAAATTCTTGCCCATATAAAAAATAGGTAACATGGATATGGAAATAAATGATTCTGATGAATCTATAAATAGAAACAGGAGAAAGGCATGAAGATTACAGATACTTTCTTCCTCTTCAGACGAGGATTTTGTTAAAGTAAACAGTGAAGTAAATGTTCCACGGAAGAAGATTTGGTGTCTAAATCAGAGAAAGAGGATGACGATGAAATATAGCAGGAGGTAAAAGAAAGAACTTCAGTAATAAATGATTATTCGGAAGAAGAGGAATTTTTACATGAAAACACTGACTGTAATGACCCTTTTGCTTTATACAAACTATTCTTCATGGATTACATATTACATTTGATAATTGAAGAAACAAATAAAGATGCTACACCATGCATAAATAATTCTTCATTTAGCAGTAAAATGCACCAACAGGCCTGGCAGTCTGTTACAAGAGATGAAATGAATACTTTTTTTGGCATATTGCTTATTATGGGTGTAGTGCAATTACCAGAAATTAGATTGGTCTAACAACGACATGTATGCGAACGCACACATAAAAAATGCAATGAGATGTGATCATTTTTTATCTATTCTTAAGTTTTTACATTTTTCAGAAAATAGCACAGCCAGAACTGAAGAAGATCGGTTGTACAAAATTCGAAACATTTTTGAAGCAATTGTGGATACCTTCAAGAGTTCTGTTAAACCTGGCAAAAATATCGTTACAAAAGACTAATATGCATGTTAACTACCTCAAAGATTCACAAGTGTAAATTTGTACAAAGAACAAATGGCAAAATAAAGCCCGATGATGTGTTTGATTATAATATTGCAAAAAAAGGTGTTAATTTGTCAGATCAACTATCGAGGTATTATAGTTGTTTACAAAAAACCATTAAACGGTACCAAAAAGTAATAATACAATTAATATGTGGAACTTCCCTCGTGAATGTCAGGTATATTCATAAAAGATGGGGCACTAAAAATATGAATATTTTAAAATTTAGGGAAGTTATTACTGATCACCTTGTGGCCAAAGAACAAATATACTGTCATATATCGTCAAATAAACATGTTCTTCAATCATATGAGGAATCTGCAAGAGTGTCCCGTAAACGCTGCAAGGAATGCTATAAAAATTTGTCCAAGAAAAAGGGCAGAGATTATGCTACTAACAAAACTATAAGAGTTCAGACGTATTATGGGCATTGCAAGGGTCAGCCAGCACTTTTCCTGAAATGTTTTAACAAATTACACAAAAAATAATAAATAATGATGTTATAAATAGGGCAATGTAGAATTATTATGTTAATTTTGTAGAATTTGAGTTATATTTATAATATTGTATTATTATGTTTATGTTATTGAACAAAAATTATGTTTATGATATATTATTAATTATATTTGTAATTAAAAATAAATGTTCTTAAGGACAATAAGTTAAATTTTAATTTTCAGCGTCTCATAGCACAATTGAATGCGTACCACCAGTGGTACGCGTCACCCGATGAGACAATCTAGTGAGGGCCATCGGTGGTACGCGCCGCCCCATGAGACAATTCAGTGCGGGCCACTGGTGGTACACACCGGCGTAAACGTGTTAATTGGATAATTCCCCAGATCAAAAAATCATAAGTAATGTTAAAGGAATTGAACATCAAATCAGCCTGTCATTGAGTAGTTTTGATCTCTCCATCGTTATTAAACTAACATGTAAATAAAAAGTAAATGTCTTAATCAATCAATCATAGCTATAAGACAACGTCTTATTGTATGAAAAGAAGCCACTTGATAAAATTATTAAGATCATAAGTTAAAAAATAATTAGGGATTACTTACAGTTTAATTGAACCACTGATATTTACTGGGAGATATTGAAGTTTAGTAGAATGACCACATAACCGTTTAAAAACTTCTTTAATGAATACAGAAGCAGTTTCATAAAATGAACTCTGAAAATAAAAAATCAATAAAAAAATTAATATTAACCAGTAATAAGTAATTCTTGTGATTAAAATATACATAATTTTGAATTTCTGCTATAATATTATTAGATTAAAATTCTTTATAGTTTGATTTAATCGAAAATGTAAGTCAATGGCATTAGATTCGTTGGTAAACATGTCCAAGCCCATCTGTATACTTGTAGCCTTATTGGGTGATCAATCTCTTGTCGATTGCAAAGAAGGATATGTGAGTTATGATTAATAATTTAAGAAAGATTAAATCAATATTAACAATGAGATTTTATCAATTTATTGAAGGTTAAACTTATTAATATAATAATAATCGATCACATGTGAATATATCTTAAAACACGCAAATATATTTTATATTATGCTAACTTCCCCCCTCCAATTCTTTTTTAAGGAGGAACTTCGTTTTTGTTTGTCTCTTTTTTAAGGAGGAATTTTGTTTGTTTCGATGTCTAGGCGCAAAACATCCAGGTCATAAGCGAAAGGAGGAACTCTAATACTTTAAACAAAAAGAAAACTGGTCTATATTTTAAACCTAAATGAATAACAGAAAATACTTACATTTATCTGAAACTTAAAGAATAACAAAACTGTTTACATAAAAAAAAATTTCAAAAACAATACAAAAGAAAAAAAATAGTTATCTAAATTGTACAGTCACATTAAAACTAATTACTGCTTTTTAACGAAGTGGAGTTTCCTGTTGAGCGTCGCTGCCAGACTGGAGGCCTGATACTACCCGGTGTACAAGATGCACCATGCGCGATCTGAATGGATATTTTACATCTCCAATGGTAAACAAATTATTCTCCCTGTTGGTTATAATTTTATAGAGGCCCTCGTAGCGTGCGGCAGTTTTATTTCTCGCAGTCCTCAGCCGCCTGTACACTGTTGTCTCTAATGTTAACGAACCCTTGCTATAAACCACGGAGCGATTATTCGCGCGGTTCAGGAGAGTCTGTTTTTCGAGAATTACTTTTTCTCTAATTTTTTTCCACGCCATCTGTCGTTCCACTCGCGCTCCCATAATTTATTATTATTGGTTATGATGAGATCTCCATTGGTCGCATATGATCAAAAACGACTTCTACTGTAGATAGACCCGTCGCTGCATGTATTGTATTGTTGTAGGCAATCACTGCTCGCGGTATAGCGCTAAATGGATCAAATTTCTCCCTAGTTTAAGTAATCTAAGATGTTCACCTAAGGTGTTATTTAATCTTTCCACCTCACCTCTAACTTTGATGTGATGGGGGGTGTTTATATTCATTTCGAATAAAGGGTTTGTCAAATTCTCGGCCACAGGCTGACACAATTTTGTCGGGCACACCATAAATCGTACACCATTGCAAAATCCCTTCCCATACTGCCCGGGTTTTTTTCTCTTCAATGGGATGAGCCAAAGCGATTTTACTAAATGTGTCTAACATTGTTACCTATGATTGACCCTCATGGTTAGAATAAATGTCTACTTGTATTGAGCGTAGTGGTTCTGGTGCGGTGGGTGAGAATACTTGTTAAGCTACAGGAGATTGTCGATCATATTTCGCCCACTGACAGACTTCACACTTTGCGATATAATCGAGTACCGTTCGGCCCATATTTTTCCATAAATGTAATAATTTCAGCGCCCGCAGGGTCTCCTCCATTCACCGGTGGTTCGTTTAGCCAGTGTGGTGATCATTGACAATGTTTTGTTGTACCGCCGGTTCGGTGACTGTTTCTACTTGCCGTAAGCACCTACTGAGTGAATAGTCCATTCCTATTCTCTCTAATCTTTTCATTTTATTCACAATTGCACGATTTCTCACACAAACATAACATGTACGGCCCCGTTGACTAAATTCAGTGAAAATCCGCTCTAACTCGCTTTCGTCTATAGATGCAGGTGTGTGGACTAAAATCGTTGATAATCCCTCCTACACGCTCGCGTTTGTTTCCAGCCCCGGACTCTACTTCAATTTTATGATAATTTGAAGTTTTTCTATCATTGATAACCTCGTCGACTTCGGGTATCCCTTGTGATCTGTCTATTGGTGTTCTAAGGATTTCCTCCATGTCTGGTTCGATAGGTGTGTCCTCTTCGTCAATCGCATTTACTACCAACTCCAGCGAAAACCAGTCGGTGACCACATTGTCAATTTTTTTTTCGGAAATTGTACGCCGCGAGGCGTTCTTTCCAACGTGAAACCGCGCGGATGACTCTCTAAGAGTGGCTAAGGACAGGAGGTGTTTATGATCAGTGATTAGCCGAACAGTCTTCCGTATATGTAGGGACGAAAGTATTCTATTGCCCAAACTACAGCTAATAATTCGCGTTCTACCGCGAGGTACCGACGTTCGGCGTCACTTAACTTTCGGCTTGCATATGATATAGGTTTTTCTCCTATTTCGTAATTCCGTGACAATACTGCCCCAATAGCAATTTCGCTCGCATCTGTGGTGACTTTAAATGGTCTGCGGAAATTGGGAAAAGCAAACAGCGGACGAGTTGCTCTGGCCCCAATTGAAACCACCTGCCTTTCTTTAATATTTCTGTTAACGGGTGAATTATTTCAACAATTCCTGGAATGAATTTCCGATAATAGTTAACCATACCTAGAAAACGTCGAACTCCGCGAGCATTCTTGGGTAATGGTGCCTCTCGAATACCTTTTACACGTCCCTGGTCAGGTTGGGCCCCGCTGGTGGAAACTACGTGTGACAAAAATTTAATTTCCTTTAGCCCAAATTCAGATTTTTGTCGGGATAATTTGAGTTCGAATTCGCGTACAATGTTTAAAACTTGCCTTAGAAGTTGAACGTGTTCTTTCTCAGTTTTGCTGAAAACGATAAGGTCGTCCATATAGACTTGGGAAAAATCTTCACCTAATCCTCTCTGTAACTCGTCCATGAGTCTTTGGAAAGTAAATGGGGCCCCTTTTAATCCGAATGGCATCCTGACAAATTCAAAATGGCCCCGTTCCCATGAGAATACCGTTTTCCCGATATCCTCCTCCGCCATTCTAACTTAGTGGTAACCACTTTTGAGGTCCAGAGTACTGAAAATATTTGCTCCCGACAGTCGATCGAGTACATCCTCTACCCGTGGGAGGGAGTAACGTTGATCTTTTGTCGCTTCGTTCAGCTTCCGGTAGTCCACTACTACTCGATATTTCTTTGGTTCACCTTGTTTCTTCTCAACTACCCATAAAGGACCATTAAACGGAGAATTGCTATATCTGATAATTCCTTGTTTTCGTAACTTTTCCAATTGTTCTCGGATAATTTCTCTCATGGCTTGGGGATACCGCCTATCCTTTACGTAGATTGGGGATTCTGTCTTCAGGTTAATTCGATGTACCGTTTTCTCGGTTGTTGGCAAAACTTCATTTCCTTTGTAGAATAAATCTTTGTTTTGTTCCACTAACTGTGCAATTGCCTGTTTTGTACATTCCACGGCCTCTATTTTAATGTCTTCGTGATTTCCCTTCTTTGTAATTCGGTACAATCGTTTCCCTATTTTATAACGCCACTCCTTATGGTTAACTCTCATATTTAAGACCACTCGCTGTAGAATATCACAACCAATAATTAAATCATAACTTGGCATTAACAGCTCAATAATGTGGATTATTATATGCGAATCCCGCCCCCTTAACTCACTAAGACACAAAGAGGAATTGCCTAAGGTCTGAAATCTGCCGTTAACCGTTTATACTATACATTTGCACTGTTTATCAAAATACCCACTTTCTCCGCCCCCTCTTGCTAATTAACGAATGGGTACTCCCTGTATCAATCAAAAATTTTATCCCGGATTCCTCTAATCTCGCCACAGGCAACCTAGTCCGATTTTTACCTCTACCGCTTTTATTAATTATCAAATTACTGCCTTGGTGGCCCGGCCGCCAATACCCTCAATCAGTTTGTGGGTGTCTCATTACTACTTTCGCCCCGGATGGATCCTCTCTCCAAAGTTTCCCTCCACTTACCTCGACTTTTCTCGTAGCGTGACCACTGCGCTCGGAACAGGAACTCTCTTCCTCTGACGATTCTCCGCTGGTATAGAACCTGCCGCTCCTCCTACTAATCTTCCGGTTGCTGTAGTCCTGGTTATTAACCTCGATTGACTCCCGTTGTGGTGCCCTCCTTTTCGAGCGAGAGTTTCGCTTTGGACATTCTCTGGCTAGATGCCCTCGCCAGCCGCATTCAAAGCGTAAGGTTGCACCGTGCTGCTATATGACTAGTTTGGTTGCATTCATAACAAGGTTGTTCTGGTTTACGCCTTCTCTCATTGGGAAATCTGCTCGGCCGTCTATCAAATTTTCTATTTTTATTGACCTGCCTGGGTGGACTTCTGTATTTCCTACTCGGTGATTTCACTTCTATCCAATCTGTGTCCTGTTTCTCGAAGCACGTTTCTTCTCTTTCCTTAGAATCTATGAGATCATGCGCAGACTAAATAAAATCTTGATCTCTTGGCAGTGAACCAGGACGATCCACATAGTGATTCAGTTGTTCCTTCAAAATTCCTTTCAAGAATTCCAGTTTCTGTGCTCCCTCCGCTTGGCCGTAGGTTTCTACAATCTTCTCCGTCAATTTATTGTATAGAATTAGGAGCTTTTCTGCGAAATCACCTTCTGTTTGGCCCCCCTGGTTCCGTCGCTCCTTAAATGGGTAAAACACGTCTTCTTCTGGGGTCCATCTTCCTCCACCGTATAGTTTCTTTAGTCTCACTTTCAAGGAGTCCCAGGAACATGTTAAATCGCCTTAGATGGCATTTAACACTCATCTCGAGATACGCCCGACTAAGGATGCTTCGAGTAATTTCACCTCAGACTCTATTAATGTGCCGCTTTATGGCGGGATACTATAAAGGCTTTAATTTGGTCTGCTCCCTTAATAAAATGTTCAAGATCCTCTACTATTCCAGTAAATGGTTCCAACTGACCAATTACTTCATGTATAAATGTAGAATTTGGCGTTTTATTCTT